CCATACCAGGCCTCAAGTTGATCTCAAAGCACTCAATAACCAATCCATAGGCAATTTCTTATTAGAAACATTCCCTGAAACCCAGATATAATTCTGCAACATCTATGGTCCCTGTTTACTGTATGTACCGTGTTTCCCCGAAAATAAGGCAGGGTCTTATATTTATTTTCCCTCAAGAAGACACCCTAGGGCTGATTTTCAGGGAATGTGTTATTTTTTTTAAGTGCGGTACAACCATCTGCACTCATTCCAAACACAGTGGAATCGTCTTCTTCTGGAACATCATCCTCACTCTCCAGACCCCGAATCCCATCCTGAATTCTTGTGACTCTGTTCTCTTTAGAGCCACCGGCCCGATCTCTCCTGTCGAGCACTAGAGCTCTCACGGGGCGGATGAGAAGGTGCTCATGTTCTTTCCCGCTCCGCGACGAACCGCATGGGTTGTGCAGATGCGCTGCGCAGCCACGCCGGTCACTAGGCTGATTTCATAGCACGCCCCACTAGGCTGTTTCCATAGCCCACGCCCACCACTAGTGGCTGATTTCATAGCACGCCCATCACCAGGGGTGATTTTCATAAACCACGCCCCTCATAGGGCTGATTTTCATAGCCAGGCTCCGATTCACCAGGGCTGATTTTCATAGCCACGGGCCATACCAGCACTGATTTTCATAGCCATGCCATCACTAGGCTGATTTTCATGCCACGCCCATCACTAGGCTGATTTTCATAGCACGCCCACTTGGGGCTGATTTTCATAGCCACGCCATCACTAGGGCTGATTTTCATAGCCACGCCCACCACTTAGGGCTGATTTTCATGGCCACGCCGTCACCAGGGCCTGATTTCGGATGGGCTTCTATTGCACAGGTGCTCAGACATCCTGCTGGGGCTTGTTTTATGGAGGAGAGGGCTTATTTTCGGGGAAACACGGTAATCTCTGCGTAGTGGTGCGGACATTGTTTCAGAGGATCGTGAATACCTACATCCGGGTAGTAATCCACGTTAGGGACCAAGTGCTGGATGAGAGCCTCCAGGGACCCAGAGAGAAGGTTGTTGTCATGGTAATACAACCCCCCACAGCTGTCCTCTGCAGACTGGTACAGATTCCGGTTGTAGCCGCTGCTGTCAAACATCGCTGAAAAGGGAGGGGTCTGAGGCATGCTTTCCTAAAAAGGGACGAGAAAGAAGAAAACACGGTGTCAGCCATACATCGCAGGGAAATAAACATAAGCTTTGACGGGCACTAAGCTTCAATAACCCTTCGCACTCGCTTGCTTTTTTTCTCGATTCCTTTATTCTACTCGGGATTTAATTTTTTAAATGCCCCAGATTTTACAAACGCTGGAGTTTCTCTGCATGCAAACTTATTTATTTGGATTTTTTTTTTGTTTGTTTTACGCTTCAAAATTATCGATACATTCAAAGAGTCATTCTAATCTCTATAATTGTTCATGGTGCGAGCTGCTACCGGTGCTAACCGTGTCGAGTCACACTCGACATCCGAGTGCAAAGGGTTAAGAGTAATAAAGAGGGGAGCAGGGGGTTGCCAAGGGCAATATATGTGACCTTAACATTGGTACCCCCACCATATGCTGGAAAAATAAGAAAAACAAAAAAGTAATGAAGGAACAAAAGTAATTTAAAAAAAAAATAGTTTAGGTTCTCATACAACGCCAGACCCCATCAAGAACCCAAACTGCTCTTGGAGGACCGCATGCATGCGCACTTGTGAGTGCCAATCTCATCCAATCACGCATGACAAAAGGCTTAGACCAAGGGTTGCACCCTGGCTGTCCTGTTTAGATATCACATTAGGTCGCTGCCAAGTAGGGGCAGGAGACTGAGCTTGGATCGCTTTATCCCACAGAGTCAAGTATCTTCGTAAGGTGGACATGCACAAGCCTTCACGTTTGGCTGGGAAGAGTCACATAACACGGGAGATACCGTGTTTCCCCGAAAATAAGATCAGGGTCTTCTACTTATTTTCCTTCAAGAAGAAACCCCAGGACTTATTTTCAGGGGATGTGTTGTTGTTGTTTTTTTAAGCGCGTGCCAACCATTCTGCATTAGTTCAAACAGAAAGTTCATCTCTCTTCTGGAACAAATGCTCGCACTCCCAGACCCCAAATCCCCATCCTGAATGTCTTGGCGACTGCTGTTCCTTAGACCACCAGCCCCCCATCTCTCCTGTGAGCACTAAGCTCTCACGGGCGGATAGAAGGCTCGCATGTTCTTCCCGCTCCGCCGACGACACGCATGGGTGCAATGCCTGCGCAGCCACGCCCGTTCACGTAGGCTGATTCCATACCCACTCCCATCACTAGGGCTTATTTCATAGCCCGCCAAACACTAGGCCTCATTTCATAGCCAAGTCCCATCCCTGACACTGGGCTGATTTCATGCACGCCCATCACTAGGGCGTGATTTGGTAGGCTCCATTGCCAAGTCTTTTGACAATCCCTCTAAGCTGATTGAGGAGAGGCTATTTCGTGGAAACACAGTACTGTGAGAAGCTACCTGACTAGCATTAAACATAACTGGGACAACCGACTGAGGAAAAACACTTCAAAAGAGCCCCAGAATTAAAGTGCCGCTCGTGTGTGTTGTGTTGGTGTTGTGTGTGTGTGTTTGTATGTGTTTATACAGGTAGTGCGTATAAAAGAAGATCGGCCGTGCGGGTGCTCACGCGTTAATCCCAGCACCTGGGAGCCGAAGGCTGCGATGCTGGGTCAGGATTCAAGACCAGCCTGACAAGACGAGACCCTGTCTCAACTAAAAGAAAATTATTGCCACAAAACATATAGAAAAATAGCCGGCGTTGTGGCGCATGCCTTATCCCAGCTACTCTGGAGCTAGGCCAGAGATCGTTCTTCAGAGCCCAGGCCAGTTCGAGTTCGTGAGCGAGGCTGACCCCGGCACTCCACGCTAGCCCGGCAACAGAAGACCGTCTCCAAAAATAAATGAAAGAATTTGACCCAAGCTTCACGAACCGGCTGCTGATCGCACTCTTTGTGCATGTCTCCCGTCTAGCGGGTCTGGCGGCAGGGGCAGAGGTGTCAAAAACCTCAGTTCCCATAGACACAACGGCGAGCACCCGATTTTGGACAAGCAGGGTGAACAGAGCCAGATAAGTGGCTCTCTCCACCAAGTGAGCTTTGCCACGCACAAAGCCCTACCAGAGTGCTCTGGCAGGCGCGAGCTATTAAGTTAACTCGGATTCTAGGACCCACGCTCCCGGCCCCGGGAACATACGCCGCCGGCTGGCAGAGCCTGGACAATGCCGGCATTCAGGAGACTGCCCCCGGACGGGGTGTCAGGAAGCAAACATATGAGTGACAGATCGGACAGACGGGACAGGGGAGTGCAGGCCAGGCAGCCGGAGGACCCAACCTTGGCTAATCTTTCTTTGCAAGGAAAATATTTGCATCCGAATTGGGGAGGGTGCCGCACTCTGTCCTGGAAGCCCCACCCATGTTCTGTCATTAGCACAGCTTATGGGTGAGGGGGCTGGACTCAGATGTCACGCGCTGCATGGCGCAACCAGGGTGGGAGCATGGGCAAAAATACAACACATCCTTTCGTACAAACCAACTTATGAGCGGGTGGAAGAGAGAACCTCCTGCACTGCTGTGGACTGCGAACTGGTGCACCGCCGTGGAAAGCACGGAGACCTTTTAACCTTCTCTGCTTGCTTTTCTTTGGCGCTTACCGATGCTGACATGTCAGAGTCCCACCGACATCCAAGTGCAAAGGTTAAAGCGAACTAGTGATCGACCATGATCCAGCAGCCCGACGACTGGCGCGACCCAAAGATCAATGAACACTACAAAAAAAAAGAACCCTCACTCGAACGCTTATACAGCACAATTCACAACAGCAAAGAGATGGAATGACCCAGGCACATCAATGTGCAGGAGTGACTAAAACGTGGTCTGGCACACATGGAGCACTATTCAGCTCTGAGAAACAGCGCAGTGATCCATCACCTCCTTGTGTGCTCACTGCTGACCTGGACCCATCCTACTAATGAATGTCCAAGAATGCAACACAAGCACCACGTGCGCTCACCAGCAAAACTGGCATTGACGGATCAGCACCTAAGTGGACACACAGGAGTGACATCTGTCGGGTGTCGGGCAGGTGGGAGGGGAGGAGGGGACGGGTGTAGACAGACGTGACGAGTGAGACGTGCACCGTCTGGGGGATGGGCACGCTTGAGGCTCTGACTCGAGGGGGGAGGAGGGCATGGGCAATATATGTAATCTTAACAATTGTATCCCCGTAATATGCTGAAATAAAAAGAAAAAAGGAAAAATGAAGCCAACGTTATGGCAGGTGGAAATGGCATTTGGGAAAAGAACCATCAAGAAAGATAAACTGGAGAAAAGGTTCATTTCTGTGCACTCCATTGCACCCATAAACCAGTGCTGAGGAAGCATTTGAAAAGATGGATGAATAAGTAGCTGTAAATGGGGAGAGAGTGATCACTGGGAACCACTGTAGCCAGGGAGAATGGTACGAGGGTGGTTGCTGCCTTATGTTTCCCTTAGGTGGTGCATGGTCAAAACAGCCAGAGGACCAAGAACTATGAGATGTAGTGTTGACACAAATGCTCTG